AATAGGTCCTTTGTGCTTCTGGTTATATTTACTCCCAAGTATTTAATCTTGCGATTAGCTATTGTGAAGGGTATTGTTTTTCTTAGCTCCAGCTCTGCATTCTCTTTGTCACAGTAGAGAAATCCAACTGATTTTTGTATGTTGATCTTGTATCCTGCTACTTTGCTGAATTGGTCAACCATGTCCAATAGTTTTCTTGCTGAGTCTGAGCTTGGCTTTTTGTGTCACTCTGGCAGGGGGAGCAACCTTTTGTTTGGCTCACAAATATCCTTGAGTGCAAAGGCCTGGTTCCTCACTAATATTGAGATGGTCTGACCCAGAGGTACAACAGGACAGACCAGCATCCCACCTGGTGCTGCTGCACTGTCTTAGTCACTGCTATGGCTGAGCTTGGTGCTGCGGCCACTGTGTCACCCCTCGTCTTGTGGAGAGCCTTCCTCATGAGGTTTTTCTTCAGGAACTGGTCCCTCCTGATCACATGCCTGAAGTCTGTGAGGCAAGGCCCTGCCACCCTTATTTCTCAGGAGCACTCTGGCTGTTCTTCCAGGACACAGTTCCTCATTTTTCTGCCAGCCCCTGGTACATTCAGTATTTTTAAAACACTGTTATCCAAAGGCATCAACATTTTTTAATAAATTGTTCCAACTGTGAGCACATGTGGTTATGGAGTTGGTACCAACTCCTAGCTGACTCTCTAGAGGGTTTTCACAGACAAGACAGGAAGAGACCGCCCATCTTTATCCCATGGAGCAGCTGGTGGGTTTGAACCACATGCCTTTGGGCTGGCAGTGCAAATCCTTACCAAATCACCAGGGTTTCCTCTGAATGTATGAGGTGACTGAAAAAACCATGGCTTGGGACAGGCCCTCCTTAAGCCTCAAAGTGACATCCTAGTTCTTGAAAAGTCCTTTCTAGCAGCTATGCCCCAAGCATTATGTCTTTTGATTTCATGATTGCTGTCTGACATGCTGATTGCCTGGCCCCAAGTCACCCCCTTCTCACCACAATTCTGTCTCCACAGTACCTCCTGGCCATGGTGTTGGTTTACTTCCGGCGTGCCCGTCTACCTCTCTGCGACTACACCCCCAGAAGCTTCTTCCTGGCATTGTGAGCAGGGGTGGGGGTGGAGAGGCCTGGGGGGGTATTTGAGGATGGGACAGGACAGGCACTATGGCCTGTGCCCTCTGACCCTTGCTCCCTCATCAGGTACCTTGCAAATGACATGGAGGAAGACCTAGAGAACCCCAAGTGTGAGATTTTCCCGTGGGCACTTGGCAAAGACTGGCGCTATTGGGTGGTAGACTTCCTGCACCAGAGGGAGAGGCTGTGGGCCCGCATGGGCTTCCGCGCCGCTGTCAGCCGTGAGTGCTGCGAGGAGGTAAGGCCGGTAAGGAGGTAAGGGCTGGGGTGGGGGTGAGATGGGCCTGCCACCCCCTGACCACTCACTCCTTTCCATCAGGTCATGGCGAAGGAGCCCACTCACTGGGCCTGGACCCGAGCGCGGCATCCCCACCATGGAGCTGCTCAGAGGAGATGCCCAGAGGCCCCAGTCCCCTTGCCTCGGGGCCCTGGGCTCTCACCCCCCTACTGCTCCCTCTGTAGTGTACGCCGTAGGCACCACCAGCAGCTGCCCTCGTCTGTTTCATCTCAGTGGCACTCTCTGAAACCCAAGTGGCATCACCCCCATCTCCCAGTGACTGAGGGGCCCTGGAGTGGGAGATTCTTCATGGTCCATCCTCCCCAGCGGCACGTGGACCCAGGCACCTACACCATGCACAGGCCTCCACGGTGCCCTGGGCCCTATACCACCAGGCAGGGCGAAGAGTGGCCACCAGCTTGCCTACTGCTCTAGTGACTGTGGCCACTTAGTCTGCTGTCTTATTGGCATCAGGCTGGTAGTGCTGCCTGAGCCCTGTTCTCTCGGCCTGCAACTTGTTCCAACTCCGGTCCCCTCGCACTGTATCTACAGGACTCCAGCTATGCTCTAGCCTTGGCCTGGCTCCTTGATCCAGAACTTGGGGCATGAGGGGGCTGATGGAAATGGGAGTCACCAGGTCAGTCCTGTGTCCTTCCCATCGTGGTCACCCCGTTAGTCTCCTCTCTGAGACATTCCTCCCTGTGGATGATGAGAACTATACATCTTGGATGCTATTAACTGCATGAACATGGCCCTTAGGAAAGAGTGGGGCCTCAAGCCTATTTAAGGAAAAGGAAAGCAAAACTCAAATAGAAGAGTCAGCCTAGACATACCTACAGCAGTAAAAGTTGGTCTCTTTCCTAGGTTACAATAAAATATCATGTATTATAATTACTCTCCTCCCAAAAGAGTGAATTTTGTGTCTATTGGGAGCAGGAAAGACTTCTCGGAGGAAGTGTTACTTCAACTGGTCCTTGAGCAATACCTACTTTGTCCATGGAGAGCAGAGGAAGTTCTTGAGACAGTTTAGTGATGAGCATGTGCTTTCTGGAGCCAGATATAAACTCAGCTTGTTACCTGAACTTCTTCACCTGTAAAATGGGCATTCTGAAAGGAGTGTTGTTAGAGTCCAAGGAACTAATACCCAAAGGGGTCTAGCATGGCCTCTGGCATAAAACATCCAGAGGGGAAAGTGGATGTGTCTGGAGGAGGGAACTGGGGCCTAGTCCACAGGCAGGAGGAAGGCATATCTGGGGAGCACCTGGAAGAGGAGATGGAGGAATCTCCAAGTCTGATGGGGTCTGGCTGGGATTACTTCCTGCTTAACGGGGCATGTGGATGAGGAAATCAGAGGACTGAGGACATTAGGAGTCAAGGCATGGACTAAAATATATTTTAACTTCCTTTTCAAATGGGTAATATATTCACATATGCACTTTGAACAAAAATCCCACCTCTTGCTCCTGACTCCTCAGCTGCCTGGTTCCTCTCCCTGAAAGAAATGACAGTGATAATCTACATGCTTCCAGTGAGTCTAGATGTCTAACCAATCATGAAATTATATTTATGTTGAGGTGAAATTCACATGCTCTTGTTAGGTACCACACGGTTCACTGCGACCCACAGTGACCTTCTCCAAGAGATCGAAGCCCTGCCCTGTCTGCTGTGCCATCCCTACACTATCGTATACTTGAGCTCCTACTTCCATCACTGTGTCTGTCAGTCCCTTCTACAGTGTTTTCTTCTGCTCAACTTGCCCCACATGACGTCTTTTTCCAACCGTGGGTCTCTCTTGACAACATGCCCAAAGCACAGGGGACAAAGTTTCACCACCCTTGTCTCTACCATGGTGTACAACAAGCCATTTAAAGACAGTGTAGTGGTGAGTATATTTAAAGGTGTGCTTCCACCACCTCCACTTCCAAAACATTGTCATCAGCCCCCAAATAAAACCCCTGCCCCTCCTTCCTGTGCCCCCAGCAGCAGCCCTATGGATTTGTCTGTTTTACTCCTGTTGGATCGCCATCGTGACTTTTCAGGGGCTTGCCAGAGGTGGTCAGGAAGACACAGGATTGGGCAGGGCTCAGATCTGTTTTTCACACGGTCGCTACAAGTTGTAGTCAACTCAGTGGCGCATGAAACATGCCTGGTAAAGGGAATCCTACAATATGTGGACTTGCGCGTTCAGCTTCTTTCATTTGTTCCTGTTTGGTGCGGTTGAGTCTGGTAACTCACGGAACACAACGTCCAGCAGGAGAAAGCAGTGCCAAGCCCGGCATCACCCTCACCCTCACCACTGCGCTGTGCGCGAGCCGGTTGTGAAACCCAACTCACTGAGGGTCCTCTGTTTTGCTGATCTTGAGCACAGTATTTTCAAGGTTTATCCATATATCCAGCAGTATATTCTTTTTAAGGGTTGGACAATATAACAATGTGTGCTTTTTGCCTATCCATTCATCTCTTGATGGACAGCAGGTTTGTGACAGTGGACAGCTGGGTGTAGGGCAAGACCGCTCTCCTACATCAGGGCCTCCTTTTCCTTGTCTCTGGTCCAGCAACGTGCAGTCTCCCTGACAGGTGTGTGAGTGTGTGTGCCCCACATCTGCATCTTTGCCCCACAGTTCTTTGTGCTCAGAACACTTTCCAACATCTGCTTGCTGGGGGTTAACTCAGTTTCCCTAATTCTGCAAGCCCACCTGGAGAGCACCTCCCCAGCAGTGGCAGGTCGGGTTTTAGCCATTGGTCCTGGGCTGGGCTCTGCGGGAGAAAACTCAGCGCAGGGCTGAGCTAGGGCTGGAAGCAGCCACCTGGTTCTGGCCCTGACTCACCAGGTGATACTGCCCCAAGGAGTCAAAACTCAGGAAATGGGAAGAGAGAGGTTTCATAAGTTTTTGAGAGTCTCAGGTGCTACAAGCTTAGGAAATCTAGGGGCCATTTCTCCAGTAAACATGCTGAGTGTATACAGAGCCTTATGAGGGCCAGAGACCCCCCGAGTTGCAGAGTTCTGCAGTAGCCCCACTCCTTAGAGCTGCGCCCCCCCCCAGGGAAGGCTGCGCAAGGGCGTTCCCCACTGGGTGGCAGAGGGGGGTGGGGGGTGGGGCGCAGGGATGCACACTTGACAGTCTTCCAGCTCCAGCGCCCCCAAAAGAGTAGAGAAAGGCAGGCTCCCACAGCTGCTCGCTGCGCAAACTGGGGGGCCAACAGCCGAGAGGGCAGGGACTTACCCAAGGTCAGGCCCAGAGCAGAGGCCACCTCCCCGCGCCCCGCCCGGTGCCGCTAACACGGGGGCGGGGAGGCGGCACGACTGATGGCCGCGTGGGGTGCCTGGCGGGGTCCCCTAGCAGCTGCCACGGCTCCGGGAATCTCGGCCTCGCGCTGGGGTGGCGGGCGGGGACCGGGACAGCTGCGGGTGCGGGGCCAGCGGGCACGACCGGGGCAGGCCGCCTGCAACTCGAGCCCTGGTCCTCCAGGGCCCCCGGTTAAAAATACTGCGCCCTTCCCCCGCCTGCCCTTCGGTCCAGCCCCTCCCCAGGGACAGCCCTGGCTCTTACTAATTTGTCCTCTCGCGGAGTTGGCCCTGGGCCTGGGAGGGCGGCGGGAGCTGAATAAAAGATAGTGCGGGACTGGGCCGGGCAGATAAGGGCGCGTGGAGAGGAAGCGGCGGGCGCCCCGCGAGGAGGAGGAGGAGGAGGAGGGCGGAGGGGCGCGGGAGGGCGGGGAGGAGCGCTCTTCCTGGTTTGGCCCTGCCCTGTGCTGCCACCGGGAAGCCAGCGGCCAGGACAGCAGCGGCCCCCCAACACCCTTCCCCAGGTAAGGACTGCGCGCTCCGGGGTGATTCCGGTCCGCGGCTGGGGGCTGCCCTTCTTGGCCCTGCTGGGGCTCCCCTAGGGAGGGGGCTCAGGGAGGGTGTTGCCTGGCGGGGTCCTCAGCTACTCCACTGTCCCCAAGGGCTGAGCTGGGGGAGGGCTGGCAGGGAAGACAGAGGCTCAGCGTTCTGTGGAAGGGGTCAGTCCCTGCGGTTCCAGCCCGCACCCCGGGGAATAGAGCCCACTTCTGAGGTGGGGTCTGGCTGCCCCAGAAGGTAGGGGTCCATTCCAGGGGCTTTTCTCGGGATTCCCTGTGTTATCACAGCTGCGCCCTGCGACGTCTGGCTGGCCTCTGACCACTGGGCTGTATGCACGTCCAGACAATGGGAGTCTGGGAGGGGCAAGTGGTGGTCTGCGCACCTGGGGTCTGGCAGCTTCTCTCAGGGTTTCCAGAAGCAGAGAGAGGTGGTCTTGAGCTCTGTGTGTGTCAGGGGCGTGATTCTAGGGAACCCCAGGTTTGAGGAGGAGGAGTGGGCAGGGGCAGGTAGATAGGGTCAGGCAGGCAGGAGCTCTGAGCATCTGTGAATCCCCCAGGATGGCTGAGGAGTTCATCACCCCTGTGTACTGCACTGGGGTGTCAGCCCAAGTGCAGAAGCAGCGGGCCAAGGAACTGGGCCTGGGCCGCCATGAGAATGCCATCAAGTACCTGGGTCAGGATTACGAGCAGCTACGGGCCCGTTGTCTGCAGAGTGGGGTCCTCTTCAGAGACGAGGCCTTCCCCCCAGTGACCCAGAGCCTGGGCTTCAAGGAGCTGGGCCCCAACTCCTCCAAGACCTATGGCATCAAGTGGAAACGTCCCACGGTGAGAGAGGATGTTCTGGGTGGTGGACCCCAGATCTTGGGTGATGTGGGAAAGAACTGCAGGTCCATGCTGGGGAGCAGGTCTGGGATGGCTGGGTGTGTTTCCAGGAGGGACCTTCTCAGGGACAGGCCTTTGGTTCTGTTGCAGGAGATGCTCTCAAACCCCCAGTTCATCGTGGATGGGGCCACACGCACAGACATCTGCCAGGGAGCACTGGGTAGGCCCCGGGGACTCCAGGCGGGTTTTCCATACTAGTTTCCTGTTCCCTTCCTTCTCCACATCAGCTCTGCCCAGCCCTTCCCTCCTGCAAGTCCAGGCAGGCTCTGTTTACCCACTCTGGGCTAGTTTGCCTAGATTCTTGAGTCTTTTCCATAAACTCACAGGCTCTGGGACGACCCCAGCGATACAGTCTGGCTTCTCCCCCACCTGGGTACCCACATGCCCCTCTGGGACAGATTAGCAGAGCACCTCTAACATGGCTTCCTCCCACCCCAGGCGACTGCTGGTTGCTGGCTGCTATTGCCTCTCTGACCCTCAACGACACACTCCTGCATCGAGTGGTCCCTCACGGCCAGAGCTTCCAGGATGGCTATGCCGGCATCTTCCACTTCCAGGTGGGCACCCCGCACACCTGGATGGGGGTGATTGCCTAGGAGGGCAGAGGGGTGAGTCAGGTAGTGCAAAGCCAAGGTGGCCAAGGTCCACGCCCATCCCTGGGGGGACGGCAGCCCTCCCTCTGGAAGGTATTTGACCTGCAGATGGCATCTCGGGTCTCTCATGTGTGAAAGGGTTGGACAGGTATTTCAGGTGGCGGTCTGATGTGCTGGCTAGATTGGAAAGAGCTCTGTGTTATAATCAGGAGGGACTTCTTCCCTGGCTTCTGTTTCTCCTTCTGAAAAAAGTAAGGACTGTTCCTCTGGGGAGTCGGACCTGTGCCGCTGCCCCCACCACCTGCAACCTCACTCCACCTGCACTTCACTCCCCTCCCACTGCCTCTTCCTTGTGTCTTGGCAAACTGCAGCCGCTGACAGAACCCTGCAGAAAAAGACACAGATAAGTCCCTTCAAGCCAGTTTTTCCTGACTATGTGCACAAAGCCCATTTTTCTAGTCACTTTAATTAAGTCTCTGTGAGCTGATGTTTAGAGACACACCCCAGCTCTGGCCCTGGTGGCTCCAGCCCAGCCCCGAGCTGGGTGTCCCCTCCTGGTTCTACCGCCAGATCTCTCACCCCACCCACTTTGGAGGGGGAGGCCCTGCGGGGACCCACAGTGTGGATGCCGCTGGCTGGCTGATTGCCGCACCTGCCCCCGCGCTAGTCCGCAGGGGCGTGGCCTCGGGCCCTTGCCCCTGCCTCCTTCCCTCTCTCCTCCAATCCGCTGTTTCCAGGCCTCCAATTAGCCTGTGCAACTACCTGCCCCGCCCTGGCCACGCCCCCTGTCAGTGTCTCACTCCAGGCTCCTCCAATAGCAAGTGGCCAGTTTCTAGTCCCAGGCGCCTTGGGCTGGGACTTTTCAAACCCTCCTCCTTCTGGGCGACCTGCTTCTCTTGGCTTCTCTGCAGTGAAGCCCGTGATTGCGGAGGAACCAGCCACGCCCATCTTGTGTTTCAAGGCTCTGTCTGGATACCTCTTTCTCCTTTCTCTTCTAGTTTACACATATCTCCTGCCCTCTCCTCTCTAAAAACAGTCCAGCGGGCATGGGAGCTGTAGGGGCTGACCTCCACTAACCTCACAAGAGGGAAAATCGCCTTCAAGAACCCCTGCAGCAGAGCAGAGCCCTGTGAGGTCAGATGTTGCTCCTCCCCACGCCTCCCTTACCGCCCCTCCAGGGACTGTCCTCTACTACTTAGTTCACTAGTTCATTGCGGTGATCCCAGATCTCACAGACAATAGCTCACAATTATGGGAGCTCATTAGCAAAGTAACAAGTCACAGTTCAGGTTGGAAACACCCAAGATCCACCTCTTCAATCAGGACAGACTCTTCTCAGTCTCTTCTCTGTTTCCCTGCCTTTGGGATCTTCCCCTCACTCAGGCAATTGTTGCAAAGTTCTCTATGTCCTTTCACTTATGTGCCACCCCCACACCACCAGGAAGTTCGGCCCCAAGACTGAGGGGGCCAGCAGACACAGGTCAGCTCCCTCTCACATCAGGCCCCGGTTCTCTGCTATTGTTGTATCTTTTTTTTTTTTCATTTTTATTAATTTAAATTAACATTTACAGAGATTTTGACTTTCCATTTCATTCGTTGTTGCGCTTTTCTCCCTGCCCACCCCTCCCCTCCAGTACAGGCTTCTCTTTGAAAAGTAAAAGAAAAATTCCTTCATTGGCATACAATCCCCCCCCCTCCCCCGCCAAGTGCACTCCACTGTGCAACCTTCATTCTGGACTCTTGTGATAACCATAATACCCTATCGTATATCACTTTTAAACTGTTCTCTCCTTCATTGCTTTTAAATTGTTCTCTCCCTCATCTGTTTCAATGCAATATACATTATTTATCTGGTTTTTCTCAGTCTTACCCCAACCCCGATGTCAGTATCGTTCTGCAACACTGGCACTATGCAGTATTTGTCTCTGTGTGACTAAGTGAACTCAGCGTAATGCCCTCCAGGGTCACTCATTTTTAATAATATTGCATGAGTTCCTTGTTTTT